ATTCTGCAGCTGTCTCCCTGGTCACTGAGGGGACTAATGGATAGGCTTACATGCAAGGGCATGGGGAGGAAGGTGTGAGGAGAGACAGGCTTCATCGCCAAGAATCAGAGATAACATGAGAACTCCATTGATCCTAATGGATTCAGGATCAGCTACATGCTGGCCTGAAAACACCTCTTCACTAGCTAAGGTTGTGCAAAAACGTGACAGTCGTTCACTTTGTCAGACTAGTGTCAAGGTGTAAAGAGAAATAGCCTCTCCTGGTAAGAAACTACTTTGCAGGGGGTGTGGAAGGGAGATGACGACGTCTGTCTCTTCTGCTGTGCCAACCCAGCTGGGGAAGCCCTTACAGGCAAAGCTCGCTGTGACCTCTGCACACCTGTCATTCAGAGCTTGCCAGTGTAGTGATACCTCCCAAATCAGTTTGCTGGTGGTTAATTATTCACTCCCAAACTGACTGGCAATACCGTAGTGGGTGCCATGTGCTGCCTGCCTCCGAACAGCTACAGCACTCTCCTAGAAGCCTACCAGCGCTAGGATGCTTTGTCGTCTGTGCCAGGTAAGGTGCGAGCCACACACGGGTCTTTACAAATGCCATCTTCCCCGTCCTGAAGGTCTCCCTATTCTAACATGCATTTACAGCAGAACTCTGCCACAGAACACCACTGTCACCACAAACGACAGCACTGTGCTGAATGTGCAGTCATTCGCTTCCATCTACAGTGAGGGCTTTCAGTAGGTGCCAACTCTGACCTGCTGTCACCTCTCTGCTCTTACCGCCCCCCGGAGAGCCTGCCCTTGGCACAGTCAGTCGCGATACAGTCGGGTCACCGTTTGGGTGACTCCTCCCCAGCAGAGTTTCCTACTCTGCAGCTTCTCAGGAGAATTGAGTATGTTGTGTTGCCCAACCAGTGCCAAAATGCAAACGATGCTTGGCAGTGGTGCGGTACATCTCTCAAGGCAGCTTCTAGGGACTGTGGGCCATCCACAAATAAACCTACAATCCAACAGATGAAATTCTGCAATGTAAAGGGCAGATGAGTGGAGCAGTGGATGTGACGCACTCTAGGATATAGGATGGCACGCCAAAAGATACTACTGTTCATTTTTGTCCACGTGTAACCTTGTACTTAGGTTTCTACTGACCAAAATCTGTACTGCTGTTTGATCCAGCAGGCACAGACCTGTTATTTGTGATCACAGAACCACAGTGCAAATATGTATGTGCAGAATTACATTGTTCAAAATCAATTTGTTCTACATTCTTTGAAAAGAGTATTTTTTTAAAGAGACAATAAAAAAACATACATGTGAAACAGCATCGGCTTAAATGAGTCACTGCTGTCAGACTTTCTGTTCCATTGGTTGATTTCCCCCTGCTCTGTTTTTATCTGTCTAGCCATTCCTTGGCCATTTGGTCTCTCCAGACAACTTCATTCAACTGTGCTGTTTACATAATAGAATGCAGAATAGCACCCAAGAGCACTTACTCCAAGTTTGGATTCAGAGGGACAGAAAAGGTTCAGACAGTTCAATAAAAAGTATAACTGAGCTTCAGACACGCACTTATTTGGCACAGTGGCTCAGGAGGGAGCATGGTACCTAGTTTCGAGGGCAGGCTTGGGCACAACACTCACCAGCGGCAATCAGCAAAGCATTAGTATAGTGAAATTTAAGTTGGATGCCTAATATGCTGTTTAAAGTCTCTGAGGGGAAAAATGCCACTTCAGATGAGAAGTTAACTGTGGCACTGACAATGAATGCCATCATTCCATTTTCTTGATTTATTTTTCACACTTACAAAATAAAAAGGGCTTGACTTGGTTATATTACATGTTTCCTGAAGCAATGGCTCATTTAAATTAGTTATGGTGAGAGAAGTGTCATGCAATGAAGAAAGCGTTTGTTTCATTAGTCAGAATTACGCAATACGAGAACTGCATTCCAGAATTAAACTACAGATACACCGGCTGCCAAGCTCTATGGACATTAAACAGCAACATTAAGGAAGGACAGCAAATGAATTGTTTCTTCCTAATACCAGATTGAGATCAAAGGGCACATTTTCACAATATATTCAAAAATAATTGCTGGGAAGTATAAAGTGTACCAAAAAGCTACACGAGAAGAAACGATCAGGTAGCAAGAGGCAACACAGACAGCATCTGCACTTTTTAAGCAAAGCGTCTCTTCAGGTCCATATTGTGTGGTGACAAAGCAGACTCGGGTTTGTATTCCCCAAGCTCTGTTACAGGGAGATAGATGTGGCTGGCTTTATAAAGGATATCTAAATGCAGAGGAATTCTGGCACAGCTTTCTCCCTGGTGAGTTTTCTAGGCCTGTTTCCCAGCTGTCAGAAATTACAGCTGTCTACAACAGAGGTGGAATGGAGCTTAAAAGCTGGTAGGTATCACAGGGAGGGATGAAGCATGAAAAAACCAGTCCTCCAAGTCAATAAAAGGCTGGGGTCTGGCTGAGAATAAATTTTGTGGCTTTGAATCCATTATACAGCTGTGAGTGGAAAGTGCCTCTGGTTGCCACAGGCTTACATGTGTCCACACATTTAAGTCAGGAAAAACAAGAACAGTTGCCAGAATAAAGTCACCTCCCAGAGTAACACCAGCCCTTTATGTTTGCTAAGGTAAAACAACCCGCAAAAGTATCAAGCTGAATGAACCCCAGTAACTGATTTCTAGGCTGCTCATCAGGGTCTCCTGCCAGCACAACGTTTCACACTGAGGGTGCACAGCACAAACGAAAAAGGAGCCAAGGACAGACCCATGTAACAGCCATGCTATTAGCTGCAAATCAACGTTGTCCTGGTGGCCCTTTCTAAGGCAACTTGTCACCACAAGGACAACGGTTTACAGCCAACAGCATTAACTCCGTGAACAAGGAATAAATTAACGCGTAACCACCCACACGTTTTCATGGAGAAAGGCTGGTCAGGGTCAGAGTTTAAGAGAGCACGGACAGTCATTACAACAGACTCTTAACACTTCTTGTTTCAGGTTCCTCATGGTGATTTACCTCACTCCCCTCTACACTGCAAGACTTCTAAGGCCTTCTAACAACAGACTGGATACTTAATCTTACACAAGAGACCATCCCTGTAATCCACTGCTTGCCATGAGTTATGTTTCTTTTAAAAACCAGCCATACTCTAGGGGTCTCAATCTTTTGGCTAGTCAAACTACAAAATCACAGAACTTTTGAGGCTGTAAGAAACCCCTTGAGATCATCTAGTCCAACCCCCCTGCTCAAGGAGGGTTACCCAGAGCAGGTGGCCCAGGACTGGCTCCAATCTGGTTTTGAGTATCTCCATAGATGGAGACCCCACAACCTCTCCATACCAGCCTTTGACTACTCTCACAGTAAAAAAAGTGTTTTACTGTGTTCACATTGAATTTCGCGGGGTCAAGGTCAAAAGTTGGCTTTTGAGATCTGGAGGTTATATCTAAAATGAAAAGACAAGGATATGGAGTGTCTGCGCTAGCATTAATCTAGCTAACAGAGGTCCCAGTCCCCACGATAATAGGCTGGAAAAGGTTAATGAATCCTCCAGGGACAGCGGCAGGCTGTTTGGTTTGCTACTGTTGTTACGTGTGCTAACTAGCTAGCTTACTCCTGCCACAGTTACTACTTCACTTCAGAATAGAAACCACAAACTGAGCTAGAGCTAAACAGAGGTGAAGCCACTGTTCCCTCTCTAAGCTAATTCCTGGCAGGGGCATGGCACAGCTGATCACCCACCTTGTGGTGCTATGGGGAAAGTCATCCCCAGGCTCATAAGACCCATAAAAATTTATCTTCAGCATCACTAGCCAAATTTTATATTTGGACACAGATTTTGGGGTCACAGGCCCAACCATTCTGATTTTCAGGACATTATATCCTTATAACAGAAACAGCAACTGGCCCGTTTCAAGGGGAAAAAAAAAAAGCCACAGAGACTATAAATACAAAGGGACTAACTCAGTCTCAGAAAGTCTCTGAACTGCAAATTGTTAAAGGTGGATGTAGAGTTCTGGAAGAATATTGCTATGTTTGCCCAGATCTTATTTTTTTTTTAGCCTCTGTTTTGGCCAAGGTAAGGGATAGGTAGTTTGGCTAATCCAGAGTCACTATTTTTTCCCTCATATTAGGTAGCTGTCACCTCTTTATACTGTTCATGCATAGCATGGATGCTTCCTGTTCAAGAGGAGAAGAAACCTGACTGTCTTTTTCTAGTGCACTCTACTGGAGTGGCACTTTTCATGTCACATTTGTCTCTTAACAGGTCTTCAAACCGTAAATAGCAATGTAAGCATTGTACATCTGCACAGGGATAAACAGTACACACACACGCGCGCACAGAGCCTCTTCCAATTCCTCCTTCTGCTGTTTGTTGTTCTGAACTGTTTGCCTACTCACTTTGGTTTCATGACTCATTCTACAAGAATCTCACTTTGACTTGTGGTGGCAGAAGAAAACTTGAAATAAATCAAGTGTATAAACTTGTATTTAAAGATGTCAGGTGTTTGCTGCTGAAGACCTTCCCCTCAACCAGCTGTTCATTATAGTGGGTTTCCTCTACATTAGCTTCTGCTCTCCCTCTCTTCTCAGACAGTATAACCACTACACAGACTGCAGGAACAAGCATATCCTTTTAAGACAGTTAGCAACAGGGTTTTGATCTTCAGACAAAAAGCAAAATGTTCATAATGATCACGTTTGGCAGAAAATAGGAAGAAAAGGGAAAACACGCGTTTTCAGCCTATCTGTTACTAGCCGATACTGCGGCTTCATCTTCTAGTTAGGTTCTTAACAATTTCCACATGCCTCCTTCTAGGAGCTCACCTTGTCTCTATCTCTTCCCTTACCCTAGATTTTGGCCTACATGCTGATTTACACTTTTTTTTTTACTTTTAATTTTCAGGCACTGGAGGTGACACTGAGATCAATGGTTGAGGATTTCAAGTCATGTGAAACATAAGCAACTCCCAGACTCTCTTTGCAGGGACTGGATTGAAAAATGGCAATTAAAAAAAAATAATCTTGTTTTCGCTTTCATGGAACTCTGAATGTCTACAATCCACACATCTGAATCCGAGTTCCCCATTACAGGCTCTCTTCGTACTTAGCGAATAGAAACGAGTGCTTCTGAGAGGGCAGTATGTCTGGTATCTTCCTGACAGTGAGGCAACCCACACCCTAAATGTGCATATTTCTTTCTTTTGACTGTGAAGTCTACTGATTGAGTCTAATGATTGCCATGCCATGCGCTTCTGCATTCTGCACTCATCAGGTGTCTCCATCACCAGCTGGTTTGGACGTGTCTTACACTGTAAGTGAATTGCAAGACCGATCCATCCCTGGAGGTTTCGATCCTCAGTACAGGTAACATTTAAGTACACCTCTTCTCATAGGTCTGAGTTCATTCTCAGACCTATGTAGCTTGTCTTAATGATTGCATATACAGATAAATATATTTTAAAAAGCCTAAACTTACCATGACCTGGTGAGAAAACATCATCCACAGAGTTTAGACATAACACTGGAATTCCTACTGACTTCAGCTTGCGACACGGGCTAGCATCTTCATAGTAATCATCAATTGTACGGTAGCCAAACATGACTGAAGTGAACTGCGTATCAAATTCTCTAACAGTTCTAGCCTGAAGTACAGAATTCAAATAGGGAACTAGTCAGCGTTTGGAAAACAGCATCCAGCTAAAGCAGAAGTAACATTTTCACATACCTTCATCACAAGATCCATATCAAATAATTTCTCCAACATTTGTCGATGCCTAAAAAGAAAAAGAGAGAAAAATTGGAGGGCTTGTTTTTTGTTATATAAACAGATGTAGAAGTCCTCTGCTTTACAGATACATTTATAGAAAAAAATCCCTAACAAGAACATGCTTGTTTGTAATTTTCTGTCATATTAAAAATCTGTCTGGAATCCTAGAGCAGAAGAATTGTTCATTCATATGCAGGCACATCCGGTGACATAGTAAAAATCTGCATATTCCATGAGAAAGATGTCAAAGATAAGAGAACGAAATATTTGGGAATACAAAATACACCTTAATTTTATAAAGCAAAGGATTAACTAGACCTTTCCATGCTTCTGCAGTCAATGCCAACTTAAAAGAATTAATATGTATATGTATCTACTCAAAGTCACTATGTGCATGTCTGAAAAATTACAAAATCCATTCACTTCATCCATAAATTTAGAAGTACGTTGGTCTTGTGCCAAGTCCCTTGAGGAGCAGAAAAATTTGGTCACGCTGATGACAATCTTTCTTGCAAAGATCCTTTTGATTTCAAAACTTACAGAAGAATGCACACAGAACAGCTATGTAAAGTGTTGTTACAGCATGAATTTTGCCAGTATTATTATACCTGCTGGAGATCTCATGCTAACATCCTTCCACCTTGCTAAATAGTTCAGAAGGCAACTCACCTGCTGATAGAGGATTGTAGACAAGTAGTCAAGTAATAGTTGAAAAGAAGCCAGTTTAGTGGCTTCTCCAGAGATTCTACAGATTCAAAAACATTCCAACCCGCAGAGAAAATTGCAGCTGCCATTAAAGGAGTGTCTCTGCCAGTTTTGCCCAGGTAATTTAAAAGAAGCATGCTACAAACAGAAATGAAAAACAGAAACATATATACTATCAAATCGTTTGCTTCAGCTTAAAGCAAATACAACAATCAGCCACCTTTTTGTCTGGTTTTCAGTAGTTTCTTTTAATCGGCCCTACAGTTGTGCCTAATACTTCTAGAAGGTAGTCAATGTAATCAACATACGACTCATGAACTTTGCTTTCTCTCTCTACTGTCAGGGAGGAACTGAGTGCACGGTGTAGGATGTGGGTAGGAGCGCATTTAGAAATAAATAGAGATGTACTAGCCTTATTTATACCACTAAAAGGGAGGAAAAGGTCAAGTAAATGTATCTTACTCATAGAACAGTATTCCCAAGTTGTTAGTAAGTTTTACCATTTCACAAGCTCTTGGCCTTCCTGATCTGATAAATCTGCTCAGCGTGCCTGACAAAGGCAAGCTGCCCCGGCATGCCTGCCTCACTACGAAGCTGTCTTTTGAGTTGAAGGTAATGCCCTTCCCTGACCTCACACGTATGAGAGGACATAGCTGTTCTTTAACACAAAGAACATAAAGAATGAATTGTTGGCTAACGAATAAAAGTACCGAAACAAAATTATGATCCAAGTAATTTGCCTTTCTGACCAACTGCAACTTACAGTCTCTACTGTGGCTGTACAGTTGAGTTGAAAAGAGTAGAGTTCACCAGTACCTGTCCCTTCAAATGCAGAAAAACGAAAATAGCAGGAAGAGAGTAAAAGAAGCTGTAAATCTTACTTTACTGCCTGAGGCCCCAAAGCTTACAACCAGCATTTTAATACCAAGCCTTTAACCCAAAACATTACAAGTTCTACAATTTAGTATAGCTCCCTGGACCACCAACACTCTGTACCTTGGCTTCATCTACCACACTTCAGGAGATGGCAACCTTCAGCAAAGACATCATGAACCAGCGTGCCATCACAGAGACTTTATCACCCTGCACTACCTACCAGATCACGGGACAGCAGTGCACAAGGGAAACCAGGCTTTGGCCCTACCAAAGACTTGCCAGTTGGTAGGAACCAGCAGGAAAGAACAGCAGACAGCGCTTGGGAGTGGGTCCTGCCATCAGCTCACACGTCTATATACTATAAAAACACTGAACCATAAAACAATAAACAAGTAGTTGCAGTAGTAGTAGAAGCCACTTCTCTAACAGGATTCACAGAATATATGGGGTACAGAGAAGGTTTAGCAATCTTTATGTTAGAATATGAAGTCCCTTTCCAAAATAATACATACTGAAGATCAGTAGAACAAGTGGGCTTTCATTAACACTTACACCTTTGTGAAACGAATGTTTATTTTTCTTCTTAATTGGGTAAATGTGTCCTAGATAGATTAACTGGCTAGTCAGAAAATTTTGAAACAGGGTAGATAATAAAAACTATTGTAAGATTAAGACAAATGGATGATTTTCACAATATGCCCCTGGTGAGATCTCTGCTCCTGCTTAATTTTAAAGTGCTCCAATTAATTTTGAAGCATGGAAACAGCCCCCACCTGGATGACTAGAGACCCTTTCAGTTTTCTGTAAATTAAGCATATGTTTTCTCTTTGTGGTTCAGGACTTCAAAAACGTATTGGAGCAGGAAAGTGGAACATCTTGCCTAAAATCACCCAGTGGTGGTGGCAAGGTAAAAGCCAGGAACACACAACAGACCCCCTGTGCTGTACTAACAGACTTCACCACCATTTGGGATACCATAACTAGGTTAAGCCAAGCACAGAAATGACACTAAGGGCTGAACTGGTCTTTTGTACCAGTCACAAAACAGCTAGCTTCTACCGCACCTTCAGCCCTGAAAACCTAGCGCTTCACCTACTACACCCCAGTCCTCTCAACTCCAGTGTAATGGTGCACCACACATGAAGCTACCCATGAAGAACTACCGTGCTTTAAATCTGTAGCTCATCGTTGAAACAAGCCTCTACTGCAGACGCTTCTTTGGCTTTCACCATTTCCAATGAAACGTGTTTTTTGCAATACTTCATGTTATTTCATGTTTTGCACATGAAAAAGTCTAAGCTTGACTGCAGCCCATCTCATGTGCTAGTATATGCATGAGCACACAGCACAGGAAAAACCAGGAGGAGTTAGAAGTCTGTGCGTAGTCACAGAACAAGTTTATTGTATCACAAAGACACGGAGGACTCACAGGCAGACAAGACTATGCTGTGTTGGATGCAAACAGACTCCTCATGAAGGCCTTGAAGGCAAGGAGGAGGGTTTGCATCTTAGACAAAAAAGCCATTTAAATGCACAGAACTTTTCCCTGGTGCAGGTTATAAGCCAATTCAGAGCTAATAGGTCAAAATCAGATAGGAGGCTAACAAAGGGCTATCATGGTGGGTGTCTGCTATAGATCTCCTGATCAAGAGGAGGAATTAGAGAATCCAAGTCTTTGGACAGCTAAAAGAAGCATCATAATCACCAGGCACAGGGAACTATAACCACCCCAACATCAATTAGAACAACAAACAACACAGCAAGGCACAAGCAGACCAGATTTCCGGGGAGTGTGGAGGACAATCTTTTGATACATGATCAATGATCCAAATAGAGAAAATGTTCTATGGATCTGTTACTCACATGTAAGGAAGAACACGTGAGTACAGGAAGGTGCAGAACAGTCTTGGCCACTGAGATTATTTGATGGTGGATTTTTAAGATCAAAAGTGAGTGGGGAAGGTAAGCAGCAGCATTAAAATACTGGAGAGTTAGCTTTGATTTGGTCAGGGATCTGGTTGGCAGGATCCCACGTGAGATGGCCCTGATGGAGAAAGGGGTCTAGGAGAACTATTGGACATTAAGGATAACTGAACATAAAGCACAAGTGTGGTACATTCTGATGAGCAGGAAGTTGAGCAAGAGTGGCAGAAAACCACAATGGAGGAATAAAAAACTCCTGACTGAGTTCAAGAAGGAAGTATCCTGAAGGTGGAAGGGGCTGCCTGGGAGAAATAGTCACTGCCCAAGCATGCAGGGATGCAGTTAGGACAACTAAAGTTCAGCTGGAGTTGGAACTAGCAAGGGATATGCAGGACAATAAGAAAAAGGCTTCTTCAACAACAAAGGCTTCTGTTGCAGCCTTTCTCGTACATTGGTACAAAGAAAGACTCAGAAGAAACAACATCCACTCCTTTCCCCTCATCAGTGAAGCCAGTCATCACAGAAGGCAATCAGATCGCTCAGGCCTGCTTTGTCCTTGGTGAATCCAGTCACCTTCTCATCCTTCATATGCTTGGAAATGGCTTCCAGAGGATCTTCCCAAAGAACTGAGGTTAGACTGACCTGCAATGTCAATGGAAAACTGACTAGACCACTAGGCTCAGAGAGTTGTGATCAGGAACTTGAAGGTCAACTGGAGAGGTTGGACCAGTTATTAGTAATGTTCCTCATGTGGTCAGTACTGGAGCCAATACTGTGTAATGTCTTCATTAACTGGATGATGAGATGGAACTCACCCTTAGCAAGCTTGCAGGTAAAATTGTGGGGAGTGGCTGGTGAACTGGAAGAGAGGGCTGCCATTCTGAAGGACCTCAACAGGCTGGAGAAATGGGCTAGCAGAAATCTCATGAAGTTCAACAAAGGCAAAGTCCTGCACCTAGGACAGACTAATGACTGGATAGAGAGCAGCTCTGTTGAAAAAGACATGGACAAACTGAACGTGACTCAGCAATGCACCCTTGCAGCAATGAAGACAACTAACGGCATGCTGTGCTTTGTTAGTAACAGCAAAAGAAGGAGGCCTAGGGAAGAGATTATTTCCCTGTATTTGGCAATATCAAGGTTGTGTCTGGAGTGCTGTTCCAAATTTGGGGCTTCCCAGCAAGACAGACACTGACATACTGCAAGATTCATATGTCTTCATACTGAAGACACCGGCAAAATCCCAGCAACGTGAATGAAAAAAAATTGGCCTGATTTAAAAGGCTTCCAAGTTACTTATTTATTTGATTACCAACAACTATATCGCTTGAACAAATCTGTATTTACCCCAAAGCTCCTACAAGTCCTTAGTAGACTAATGTCAATATACAGGGCTATATCTGCCCACTCTCCGTAAAATTTATCAGAAAGAAGGGAAGTCTCAGGAAGTTACCATTATGTCTGCAGTATTTCTAATGGAAGTTCTCCTCTCCTATGATTTTCGTGAAAGAGGCTGTCTGAACATTTCTCCTAGCTTCTAGCAGCGATTTTTCTAAGCAACTGTGCTGTCATTGTCTGCTGGAGCTGTGCTTTCTGGAGAGAAGCCAGGACACAGCAAGTCTTAATACCGCATGCTACATCAACCCATACTGGTTTTAACAACAATACTACTTCTTGCTTCTGAGCCAGACAGAGCAGATACCCACATCTCTTCCAGCTTAACCTACCCACACACTGCAGGACCCAAACAGAGTGAAGATAAACCTTGTCATTTCCAGAGGTTGCTAAGAAACATGGTATGTTAGCTCTAGTTCCTATTTTTTTATCCCTCTGCTCCAAAGACAGCCACCATAGTTCTCAAAGATTGTACCGCCCACCTGTTTGGCTGTCAATCTGTCTGTCAGTGTTTCCCGTCTTTCTCCACCCCCCTCAACTTTTGAATTTCGACCTTCCCTGACACAGAGCTAAATCCTCAAAGATGTTAAGTTTCTAGAAGTCTCCTGAATATTAGCTGTCCGAGACAGATCCAGGTTAGTTGCAGTTTAGCAAGTAATGCAAGTATTGCAGAGTAATAATTTACAACCAGGCCACAACAGTCTTGTTTTACAATCATAGTTAAGCTGAGACTGTGTTACGTAATACCTTACCCTCCCATAGAAACACCGGCTGCCATGAACGGAGCTGAGGGGTGCAAGCTGTGTACGTGATGAATAACGGCCTCTAAATCCTCTGTGTTAGCTGCACAGTAAGTCCTTGGTGTCTGCAAGGAGTCAGAGGGAGAAATGCCACCATAAGCTTTTGTATCGTCCTTTAAGGACAAAGGAAACCGAACAGTGTGGATCATTTATATAACAAGATAAATTTAGCATTTATCGTGAAGCTGCGCTAATGGCAAATACAAACCCAGAGCATTTCATAAGGAGGTGGAGGAAGGGGTTATACTTGTTATCACTACAAAATAAAGCAGGTGACAAATATCTTCAGCGTCTGCAACCTCCAGGTCATTAGACAAAATCTGAACACAGAGCAATGAGATAAACTAGACAGAACTAGATCAGAACTAGATAGACACCGATATTTTTAAAATACCCTGAGGAAATGGGAACATATTGTAAAGGCTGCAATTGACAGAAAAGAAAGTTACAATGACAATTTTACCATCTTCAGCCACATTCAACCGCAAAAGAAAACACTGGATTTCAAGTTCTGTCAGCTAGCATTTGAAAAGTAGCCAATATTTAGATTCTACACATAATACAAGCAAAGAAAGATAAATACATTCACCAGTACTGTTTACTTAATTTACTACAATATTCTATTAACTGAAGCAATGAAACACATACATTACTCCTTCCCTATCTACCACCAGCATGCCTTCAAATCTTGAACTGAGACTTGGAATGACTTCCACTGGCATCACTGAGGTTTGGGTAACTCCTTCCCTGCTTTTGGAGGAGAAGCACAGCTTCTGAGCTTCACCTGCACAGACAACTGCTATGGGCTACAATCGGGGGCACTATCTGGAGCAGTATAAAGGAGACAAGTCCTTTTGGGTACAATAAGAATCACAGAAAAATAAGGTTTTTTCTAATGGTGTTCTCTAGATTTCATCTACAGCAAAAGAGAGCTTTTAACTACATTGTTGCTACTAAGGTGTTAGTGACCTCGACTCAATTATAAGCAGGCCAACCTGCCACAATTCAGTATAAACATTAAAATTAAATATAAAAATACTTAATTATGAGTTAATTGAACTTATTTGTTGCCTGAAGCAAAAATGTATTTTCAGAGGGTTAAAAAAATTGCTTTTGGTTAAACAGCCTGGATATTTGTGGGCAATTTTAACAAGTTTAATTAGATTAAGCTAATTACTTAATATATATTTAACAAGAATATTGAAACGTTGACGTCAAAGATATAAAAAAGGAAAGAAAAGCTAAATCTGGATAATTAAAACTAAAGACGTTTTAAATTTCCATTTATGTAGCATTTACAGTTCTCATCCACATGCATCACTCTCCACTGTTTCACACCCTATTAATTATAAACAGTGTGAATGTGGTTTATTTTTAATTAAATTGTCAAGTTTACAAGGAAAAATACATTGGTAACCGTGGCCTGATGTATTGTAAGAGAAAGTGCATTTGATTAAAAGTTTATAAATAGAGAGCTCTCTTGCATTTTAATTTCAGTTAATTCCTGACACTTCAATGTCTGTCCACTCGAAGGTGAAGGTATTTGAGTCACATTGGCTGTGGTCAATCTAATACTTGATTATTCCGTAACAATAATTCACAGCAACTTTCAATAGCAAATGAGAACTGCATTTTAAAACAGATCCTTTAAATAGCTATCATTTGGTGTAAATTTGAATCTAAAGAGACTAGAAAAAGAACTACTTGTGTGACTAATTTCTACTGTGGTGCTCAGCTATGCTTCAAAATCATTAACTTGGGATTTTCTATTAAAATGTAGAAACACCTTTGCAGAAAATGTGATAATTTCAGCTGGTTTGCTTCACAGCAAGATCTTACAAAGCTTAAAGATGTAAATCCGATTACAGTAAAATACACACAATGCATCCAAACAAGAGATCTTTTCTCTTAACGATTCAGAAATTCATCAATAAGGACTTTGTGTGTCACAAAACTGCTTTGTAGATCCATCTCCAAAAGTATGCGGAAAACTACTCTTAACATGGCAATATTTGCATTGAAATGCTTTATCTGATTATGGGAAAACATTCTGAGCTTTTTAAAGTTTGAAACCAGGGGATTAAAAAATGCAACACAATACTGAGTATTATGCACATTCATTCCAGCTGCAGAACTGTCAACAAAACGCATATGAAGAAACAAAGCTTATTCAGCAATATTTCATCAGGCCCCGTCCCTAGCTGCAGAAAACACTCAGCTTCAAGACTTTGTCATTTGTGGAATTGCCAGTTATTTCCAAGCAAACATGATACGTTCTGTCCCAAAGACAAAAAATACCTCTTTGTAACTGACTCGGTGTCATAATTGCTGAGAAAAATACAAGAACACATTTAACTTTAAGGATATGGCCAGCCATATAAACCTGGTTCATTAATTCAATAACACATAATATAGATCAATTTTAATGGCACAACTTTTTAACCATATCAAAAATCTACTTTAAACTCATATTGGCAACTGGGAAAGTAATTATGATTGCTTATATTTGGATTTGTATGTTAGAACGACGGGAGAAAATTGAACCCTATTTCTTGGATGTGGATATTTTGGATACTGTAGTATTTTTGGAAAGAAAAGTGTAAGGATTGTGCATTTTAATGTTACAGATATGATTTCCTAAATTGAAATGTTCACAAAAACTGTGTCGACCGGTTAGCCTCTTTGAGTTTTAAAATAAAATATTAATATGGGCACATGACTGATCTACCAGATGACTAGATTGTCTTCTCTGCATTTTCAACATATCCTGTGAGTTTCTCTCATTTAAATCCAGCCATACAAATAGACACAAATGATTCCACATACACCGCTTATAAGTGAGAGAGGTTTATCTTCGAAGTCATCCTTACCAAAAGATCCTCACCAGCAATTCCTCGGTTGTTAAAAACCACGCATCTGAAAATTGAGACAGTAAATTCAATTATACACATTGTTCACTTCACTAAAAAAGATAACCTAAACACACAGAAAAAAATGAAAATGCATAAAAATGAGCCAGTTCTACTAATAAGTTCAGCACATAAATATTTACAGTCGTATAGATCCTACAGTCTGGCCTGTGTGGAACATCCTTTATACCAAAACGGCGTTCAGTGAAGTCAGTGGGGCTCCATATGAGTGCTGGGATGTGCTGGTCAAGGTCAGATCGCAGGAGGGGAGCCCCGGGGCTTACCTGAAGGCGGTACCTGCAGCACCCTGAGCTGGCCAAATACGAGCCGTCAGCTCTGCCAGGGCAGGGCTGAGCCTAGAGCAGCGCTCTGAAAGAGAACGCCAGAGACCCGCCCGTAGACATCCTCCAAAGCTAAGTAACTGTGTTAAATAGATTAAAAAGAAATGAGCCAAATCAAAATTCTAATGACAGCTGCATCTGAGTTGCACGTCCTTGGGAATGGGATTTTTTTTTTTGTCTGGTGTAGCTGAAGTTTCTGTCCTCTCTGTGCTGGTGGGACTCTCTGAATTTTCTAGCAGTATTACCAGGATTTATGGATCTATGCTTTCTTAATAAATCTTACTTTTCTACTACTGTTCGACTGTCTCACTGTAATAATTTTGTTAAATAATATATACATATCTTAGATCGGTTAAAGGCATGAAAAATTACTTATTTTGGTATTTTCTCTGAAATATTTCTGTTTAAAACCAAAATTATAGCATTCTGTTGAAATCTGACCTAAAGCTCTCCTTTTTAATGCTATACCTTCTTTTCTTAGGTGATCAAATGCAGATATTTCTTTCAGGAGTACTTAAAAAATTAATAGTACAAAGTTGTTGATTTAAGGGCTTTCCACCTCTGGTATTTTTTACTGGTAAGTTTTAAAGTGATTTAAAAAGTATTTTGAACAGTTAAAGTGCTACTTTACTTTCATAATTTAGTAAAGCAGTTATCCGAACCTCCAAACAGAGAAGAGATAGCCAGACATGTAGATAAAAGCTCATATATACGTATCTGAAGAACTTAACTATGGTCAGTACCAGAAGCCAATCTGCAAAGACAAAAGGTAATATTCCAAACACAACGACAACTTATTGTAGAGCACAGCAGCAGCGATATGATTACATAAAGGAATCTACTCATCAGCTAATCCACTTATTTTACCCAACTCTGACCAGAAGCCTTAATAACAAAACTAAATTAAGCAGTGACAATTAAGAGGTGACAAACCTCTCGCTTAACCACCCCCAGTAAGAGCAGGCTAGCTCTCCTTTCTGCACTCACAAATTTGAGGCTGCTGAATCAAGCCATTTTGGCATTCAGAAGCTGACCTCCTCCGAGGCCTGCTGCCAGCAACCCGTCCACACGAGTCTTCTTGGAGCTGAACACAAACCCCTTCTCTAGAAAGTCGGAAGGTAACACAAATACTGGTATTATGATTTAAGAAGCAGCAGGAAAGGCCTATGCAAACTTAGCTTGCTCTCCCTGCAATCTCTGCGGCACATCTGTAGACACTAAACCAGCCCTTCCGAACGTACTGCCTGTTACATAATTCTGCTATTATTATTATTACCAATAATACTTTCTTACATAAACTAATGTCTTTAGATCTCATTTGCCTTAGGAAGGCACCTTATACATATACATACTTATATTGGATCTTACTAGAAGCAGCAAAATACTAGCAACGAAATATAACAGCACCTATATCCCAGCGTTTCGCTTTGATGGATCATATGAAGAATGTAGGATTCCTTGCTTGTTCCTGTCAGGCCAGGCAGTAACAGGACAGTGGGTCTTGTGCTGGCATCCGGATAATATAAGCTGCCATTATTATCAAACCAATCCAATGAAATCTGTCCTCCATCTGCTGTTTTAATGAGCTCACTGAAAGGCACATTTCAAGACAATACTTATTAGGTTGAAAAATATGTGCATACTATGAAGAGTGCTTACAGTGTGCAAATCATCAGGTATGAATTCTGCATTTTTAATTCTATTTCAGTACTCAAAGCGCCACGTAACTATGTTTGCATGTTTACCATTCAGAGAGAGACATGCCTACAGCTGACACGAGTTAGCACAGTCATTTTGTGGAGCAATTCCGGTCCACAATATAGGAAGAGCTGGCTTTTCATGAATCACTGCTGATGGAATACCTGGAAGCTTGTAACTAATGTCATTTTTGGCATTGCCTTCTATTTTATATAGGCTCATGTCCTGCAGATTTCCTTTGGATCATCTGAGAATCTTCTGGTAGCACACTAGGCAATGTGTTAAACATTTATCACATCTTTTTATCCAAAGAAGCAGCATGTATAATGGATGGCACTTTCTTATGTTTTAAACACACGAAACACAGACACACACTACTATATCTTTCAGCCTGTATCTCCACAAACTTTGCAAGAATGCCGTCTTAAACCACTTATCTTAAGAATGCAACAGGTATTGTAATATCCCAAGAAATTAAGCATGCATTCAACAATGACAAGAAGGTTTCATTCTTTTTTTAGAAACATACGCCATCTTCCCTCTTCCTGTCAATGAAGATGTTGTGCAAGAGAGCTGGTGTAGGAACTACCAAAATGTAAGCCTGCCTCACATTTGATTTTTCATCTGAAAGTCCTGATAACACCTACTCCTGATTTTAAAAATCATCAGCCTTGTTGGACTCATTACCTCAGCTTTGCCCTTTTTCAGTAATGGGAAGCAGATGCAATGCTAGTGTGTACTGCCAACACAATTTCAAATGGTGCAAAATAAGCGTTGCCCCATGGAACTACGTTTCTTCCCTCACAAACTTTGAGAGTATACAAGAAGGGCTAGAAAGAGTGGACATGGCCATACCACTGAAATGTTTCCTAGTTACTAAAACTAAGGGAAGCTGCTAAATGCTAAATCTATTCTACCATGCAAACAGAGCTGAAACAACTTGTGCTGCATCCAGGTTCCGGCGCATAAAAGTACTTCTCCTTAGGTCTTGTGCCAAATGCCTCATTTGCCAGACTAAGACTCATTTCTGTGTGAGAGAGATCAGCTGAGGACAAACACTAGATATAAGTTTTTTCCCTCTTAGAATTTAGGCATCAAAACCCACAACATACACCCCACAGGTAAAAATCACTCTGAAAATCCCAGAAGTTTTATATATTCAGAACAAGGCTGAATAGGGCCATGCTATGGTTAAGGTAGAACATGGTTGGTTCCATGGGCAGATACAGTGATCGCATGACCTTTGCAAAATGATGGCATTCAAACACCAGAATGTTTGATACACCAGATGACTGTGCTGCCATCCAGAGGGACCTCAACAGGCTGGAGAAATGGGTTGACGGGAACTTAATGAAGTTCAATGAGGGGAAGTGCAAAGTCCTGCACCTGGGAAGGAACAACCCCACGCACCACTACAGGCTGGGGGTTGACCATCTGGAAAGCTTGGCAGAAAAGGACGCGGGGGTCCTGGCAGACACCATATTGAACATGAGCCAGCAATGCACCCTGCAGGAAAGAAACCTCAGCCACTGTGTGATGCTGTGAACGTACAACTACACCAGTTCCTATATTGTCACCAATATTTCAGTGCTCCAAAACTCTCTGAGCTGAACTGGGCCGTTTGAGAACCTTGGCCTTTTAAACTAACTGTATATTGAACCCAGGATAGAGATGGTTCCAAACCTATGATGGAGTTGTAAAGGCGGGATAAAGCAAAAAAAAATGGGCACAAACTCAAGCAATGACGGTAGCTGTGACACAGTCAGAGTAAGGTACCCTCTGGCTACCAAATCAATCGCTTTCCAGACGAAAGGCACTTACTTCCTGTACTGTACTTGGGGTCTAGAGGTGATAAAAGGACGGAGGAGTGTCTGCACCCGACCTTCCCAGCACCAAATTGTGGGATAGTAAGTTTCTGTCACAACAGGGCAATATTCCTCGAGAAAGCGGCAGAAACGGTCGTTGCTGGCCACCAGCTGGGGTTTCTAGGAAGAGAGACTACAGTCAGGCATGGGCATTCATATAAAACAAACTAACAAACAAATAAATAAATATATGAAAGCTTGTCTAAATCCTCTCCCGGTAAACTGATTTCTTTCACATAATCATTCACAATGCTTTTCCCTTTCATGGTAAAGGGGCAAGTAAACCAAAACCAACCGAAATGCCAAAATGCCCAACTGGAAAGTGAAACCCGCTAGACATAATGGATTTTTTACCTATTTCTAATAACATGCTGTTCTAGCTCTACTTTTACCAGCATTGTGTCTCTCACTGACCAATCAAAACCGCACTCTCTCCCAGTAAGTGAGAAAAATTTTACTGAATCCATTTTCTTGCATTGCACAAAAATGATGCTTAATCCATGTACTTTTGACTGTGTACCTGCAGTACCTATTTTAGGCTGGTAGGACACTCCTCCTCCCATCTCACACTACGGTACACAACTGCATTGGTTACTCATCTCTAATAACGCTTTGCATACAGAGATTTTTCTTGCAGCTTCCATTTGTATACCAATTAACATGGAAATCCCTGTGTACCAACATCTCACGTTTTGGGGACCACATTTCTAAAACTTCTCTTTTACACTGACTCTCCAACATGCAGGCATTAATAAGACAATAACAGACGCTTTGAAACCGTTAACACATTCACAGCAGCAGTGGTACGTCCTCCTCACCCTTCATTTTTCTCCTCTGACCAGAACCAAGTACCCTCCTCTCCATGAAGAGGAAAGCTATGTTCTCAGCCGTTCTGTGAAGGGCTGTGGCAACACACACGTCTTCAAGAGTCATAAATCCTTTGATACGCGTATTTGCAGTTGATTAAGCATTCAACGAGGCGCTCTCACCACGGGGCCACTTTAGATCAGATCAGGCTGGCTGTATCCAAGTAACTTGCGAGCGCCTAATTGATCTGTGAAACCACTACTGACGGGAAGATGTACAAGAGCATCCTGGCCCCCAGCTCACTGCCATGGTGGCTCCAAAGGTCTTTACCGAAGGCACACACAAGGGCAGCAAACTACTTCACCACCCGCCCCGTCGGTAAACCAAAGAGGTCGGGTTTTTTTGTGGTGGAGGGACGGCTCCTGACCTCCCTTTCCAAACCACGGCCCCCAGCCGAGCTCTCCCGCTGGTACACCTGCATTTCGGGGACGCCTGAGCCCAGAGCCCCTTCCCCTCCCAGGCCGGGCGGGCACCACCAGGCGGGCGCTCCCTCAGGCCGGCCGCCCCCCGCGCAGGAAAC